AAATTCAAGAATATATGGTCTAGATGGCCATAAACTTAACTCAATCTAACTTTTTAAGAGCTATTTCGTAAAAAAGGCTCAAACAATTTTTTGTCTTGAGAACATTTAACTCAGTTGAATGTCATTTATCACTACCCAAGGGATGGGCTGAGAGTTTTGAATCACCCTGTATACCAGGATTAAACACAAAATCTTCTTTTTTTGAGCAAAGTAAAGTGATAAGGATCACAAAGCTTTAAAAGTAGAGATAAAGCTGTGGTTTTTGTTGTTGTACCTAAATCTTGAGATGTTTGAATTCCCATGAAGGCCATTAGGTAATGTACACCAAAATTGGTTAAAGTTATACGATATTTCAAATTAGACGAGAAGATGATTTGGTATAGGATTTCTCAATAAATTAAGTTTTACGAGATGATGGCGTTAATAACATCGCTTCGGTTGCACGTTCTCATATTGCTCACCTGTCCTTAAACCCTAAGGTCATAGCGACGAAAATTTCCAATTAATAAAATAATCAATTTTTTTTGTGAAATTGTCTGGCGAATTTATAATTTTTTCTTTGGAAGGATTTACATAATTGGTTAATATTTTGACTGCAACTTGCCGATTTACATTTAAATGACGATCAATGAAAACCAATTTAAACTTGTCAACTGTCTGAACGAATCCTTTGTTATTTAATTCTGGATCAGTTTAATCGGCAGGGCTTATTGTGTGGGACCTAGGGCTTTAACGCACATGGTGACTTCACATAAGTGGACAACGACAGTGGCGTGCCAAGACGGTTTTGAAACCATTTATCTCCCCCAAATTACACCAGAGAATTGCTTTTTTCTTGTGTTTTTTCTCAAAATCAATAAATTTATTACATAATATTACAGAAATAAAATTTCCTCTGTATTTTTGTCAATTTTCCGGTAGAGTACTTAATATAAGAGCATTAAAGCTAAATCCGTGGGTTATTAGCGAGTCGCACGTCGTCCAACAACAGCGAGGGAGGGCACACACATAATATACACACACACATTCACAAAACCGATCGTACGACAGAGAGAATGAGCGAACGGAGGGATCCAACCATGAAATTGAATTATACAAGAGGCCAGATTCATTCCAGCCTATACGGCTTCGATTCCGAATAAACTCTACATATAAACAGCCTAAATATTTGAGAGCGATCGCACCTTCACCTCCGGAAAAATCCGGGTCGTGGAAATTGCCCCAGCAAAAAGATTTTCTATTGAGAAAACTTATAATTTTGTGTTAATTGTGCGCTTTTAGAGCCGGCCCTGGTGGCGGGATGTTTAATTTTCTAAGCCATAAACAGTAGTGCCATTTAAAATTCTGCAATTATAATATAAATAGATGTCATTACCACACTAATAACGAAACACAATCGTTTAGTGTCGGTGCGGGCCCCGAGGGTGTCGTGTATGTAATTTATTAATGGGTGGTATTAGACCCAACATACATGCGTTCATGCGCGTCGTTTATTTCTCTCGGTATTGTGCGGAATGGTGTAACAAAAGAAAGCCAGTAGGGGCCTTATTACCAGTTCTGTATGTCGAATCGCGACCATCTATCGTTTGTATTTCCTCGATACGATTCGATTAGGGAGGATTAGCTTTTTATTGTGCGCCGCAACGAGGCAAGTGTCCTATTATGAAGTCGATCGAGATACGACTACGACAATCAGGAGCTACTCACGAATGCGTCTTTGATGTTAAATGCAAGATTGGGGCGAAATGTGGATGCGGTCGGGGAAATTATATTTCACTGTTAGTTTGACTAAAATTTAGAACGATGAATAATGTCATTCTCTCGAATACACAGTAGGTACAAGTCTTTTTATTTCGAGTGAATTAATAGATGTGTCTTGTAAGAAAGAACAGTTTTGTGATTTTACAGCATCACTCACATTTTATATTTTTGTACACAAAATGATTAAGGCCCAAAATACTTGTGCAAACTTAAAAATAAAGTATGACTATTATTATTTGGCTACTTTTGATATTTTAATAGTTATTTATTCGACGAGTTTGAGTGTAAATCGGATGCTTTATTTCACGTGAGAATTATGCAACCACGAGGTGGAGTGAAAGAACCGATTTACACAAAGACGAGTTGAATACAACATTTTATTATTCGAATTAAACTCAACAAGGCTTCAACTTGCTTTAAATCTGTTAAAATTAATCTGACGTTTCGTATTGAGAAACGCCGAACAGTTGTCAAAACTTTCCTTACTCGGGAGAAAAACCGTAAATTTTGACAGTGTTCTAGAATAAAAATATGAAAATGCATATTTATTAGATTACTGAATTACAAACCAAAATTCGTGTACTTAGACAAAATTGCTTTAGGCAATTATTATTTAATATACGTAATAATTTCTACTGAACTTTGATTAATGGAAATAACAAATTAAAGATTAAACTTTCTGAAAATTTGTATTTGCAAAATATTTATACAAGGTGTTTTAGAACTCGCTCTCTAGAGAAAAATTCCAAGTAAGATAAGATACCAGGAATAAGCAACATAGAAAAAAATGTTTAAAAAAATTCTATCTGTCAAAAAACTGTTGACATTTTTTTATGTTTATTTAATGTTACTGATAATCTTGCATGTGTTTTTCATATTTATTTAGTAAAGATACAAAAATTTTGCCAATAAAAGTCACAAAATAACGTTAAATATAGTTACAGTTTAAGATACAGCTATCTTATTTCTTCTTCTAATAGCCTGCAGCAAAAAAAACATAGAATTTTATTTTTCAAACAGAAATAAAGAGGGTTCAAGTGCAAATTTTAAACTCCCATAATTCTAAAATTTTTATAAATATTTTTTTTATTATTTTTTTTATGTTCCTTACGTGGCATTCTTCTCTAAGGCGCGAGTTCTGAAACACCCTGTATGCTCGTATTCAATTAAATACTTCTAATAGGGTTCTTAAAAGTTAAATAGGCCGTGAAAAATTTAGAAATGAAAAGTGACTTTTGATGTTTTAATGCAAAATATATTATTTTTTCTTCTTTTTATTATTATTATTATTATTATTATTATTATTATTATTATTATTATTATTATGTAGTACTTTAATTTGTTATTCAATTTCTTATCAATAATTATTATTTTTTATATGGTAATGTTTGATCATTTATCACCTTTTTTATACTATATATTAATCAAAAAATTAAATTGTGTTATGAAAATATTTTTTTATGTGTTAAAGAATAAAGCTTACTGTTTTAAAATAATGGTTATTTATGTGTCAAAAGAATAAATAACTATTTTAATACTGAAAATGTAGTTAATTTTCATGTTTAAACAATGTTTATTCCCGAAATCAAACGAAACTTTTCTCCCAACAGATTAAATTTGTCAAGTAAAATCAATTAATTTATCAAAATATTTAGTTCATTCAATTGCAATTTTACAAGAAAAAAATCGGATTTCATTTATTTTACTTTCGAGGGAAGTACTAATTATTAGTCCCCTCTGTTGGGAAACAACCTTCTTGGTTTTGTTCTCATCCAAAGATGACTATTTTGTGATCGAAACACGTTATGATAAGTATAAAAGTTTAGTGTTTTGGAAATTTAATCTTTTGATTTAAATAAGAATTATAGTAAAGGTATCTACAGAACAAAAAGCTTTTAACTTTTTTAAGTACCTTACCATTCCACTTCTCATTCTATAATTTTTGAATTTTTTTCATGGAAAGTCTCATCTTCTAAAAAATTATATCTTCAACAGAACAAGAATCTAGCGCTTTTGACTTTAGGTCAGGTCAGGTAATAATACGCACTTTAGTTTACTGCAGTTAGATTTTTTATTACCTTGCAGGTTTTTTAAGTAAAATAAAGTTTAATTTCTTGAGAAAATAAAAGATACAAATCTGAATCATTTTTATTAGGTTTTATTTAATTTTATTGAGTATTGTAAAGATTTTTAGAATTTTGTAAAATCAATTGTGTCTACTGCTTTTCCTAATTAAGGTAAATATTGTAAATGTCTATGAGAATGATAATTGATAAACGACATCAACTTTAACATGGTCAGTAAAAAGGGTAAGAATAAGAAACGGAAGATTGGAAACAAAAAGAGCCGAAAACCGTAACCAAGCACGCATTTTTGTAAAAAAAACAAATAATTTTTTTGTGCCATTCATAAAAATCGTTGAAAAAACATTGTGTTCTACTTGTAAGAAAAGCTTTCTTCATGCTCGTGTTGAGGAACACTCGTTAAAGCGTGCTCAATTTAACACTTCTAAACCAAAATTTAGGGTCTATTCAATTTAATTTTCCGAAGTAAATCCTTCTTGTTTTTATTTGCTAAATAAGAGATTCAATTGTTGTGTTGTGTTGGTCAATCAGTACCCACTTATCGGCGCTTCTGCTATAAAATGCAAGATGTAATACGCGGTAAATAATGTATGTGGCCTTGTCGTAAGGCCGTAACGGCGCGCCGTGTTACGACTATGAGGCAAAGAGCTCGGTGCTAGCGACGGCACCTGCGAGGATAGCCCTGGCTTACCTACTCAATTATTCAAGTTTAAAGCGCTGCCGCTTGCCCTAACTCCATTTAATATGAATAGACTCACATGGCACAATGTTCAGCCAGTTTAAAACTGCACTAAAAAGTCCACACTAAGTTGATGATGCGATTCGTTCTTGCATTTTTCAACGACAATCTGCATGATTTTAATTCAAATAACTTGTATGTTTAAATTAACCGACGAGTTAAAGACCGGCTAAAGGAAAGTGCTTTTCCTTAATGTAAAAGTTTCACGGATTTTTGAATAAAAATTTTACGACCGCCGATGATTGCAGGTCAAAAATGTAAGACAGAGATGGAAAGAAATCGAGGCCAGAAGCTTTTAACATCGCAAAGAGCGTCTCAGACACACTCCACCCAATTTAATGCTGGCCACAAGCAGATAATTTCAATTTTGAAACAAAATAATTTAACAGCAAAAAGCTCTATTTTAGGCTAGAATATTAAAAAAAATATGTATATTATCAAATTTTATTTTAACAGTAATTTTTTTGTTATTTCAATTATTATAGACCAAAATTTGATACGAATTGACCACAATCTCTTTTTCTTCATGAATAAAGCAAAGTCTGGCTTTTTCAGGGTCAAATCCAAGCACTTTACCTACAATTAATTCTCCTTGATACATCGCTCTTCCTATATTTATGTATTTTCCATCTTCAAAACCCCCAATTACTAGATGTTTTCCAATTGTCGTTACATGTAAAGAAGTACTTTCAGCCCTTTCCCATGAAAAATTATTCGGATTTCCGCTACAAAGAATCTGTTTTGAGTGATGTTTCTGTTCAATTATCAAATTAAAATTTCACCTTTACTCCTATAGTTGACAAGACTAAACCGTTGTAGGGTAACTTTATTTCAGATTTTCCTGGATATATTGTCCCAGGTAGTAAACCGGCTTTGGAATAAAAACCCTGTCCTATGTATGTGGGTCTCCCGTTAATATCATTACCCCCAATAATGGCGTCAGGGGGCACTACACCAGTGTAATCCCGCCAATAATAATCTGTGTCATGTTTTAATATTATCAATAAGACAGTGAATACCTGTGAATTAGCATATTGCTATTGCATAAAAAGTTAAATATAAATAAAATTGAGGTCTGAGTTTTTGGAACACACTGCGCATAGTTTTAACTTACCCACGATTGTATTAGGAATGTTTGCTCTACAATTTGAGCATACGTAATGTGTTTCTTCCCTTCTCGGAATAGGAGCACCAGCATTAAGACCTACCGATACCAAAATGTTTTGAATTTGTTTTGAAATAACTTTTAAAACACGTAAACTAACCTGGTATATTGTTCATATTGACAGCTGCTTGATGCAGTAATGCGTAATAAATAAGACGATAAGATTTTAGTTTAGATAAGTAAAACCGAGACACATATTGGTCGACCCCTCTTTCTTTAGAAGCGGAAAATTTGAAATTAATTTTTTTTTAATATGTGCATGTAGTATACTCATTTGCTCTCAGAAAATAATAATTGATAAAAATAAAAATGCTGTAAAACATGTAAAAAATTAAATTTTACTTTGAGTTTGTGTTTTCATTCTTTTTCTTCATCATTTAAAGGGTGTTGTTTTTTTAATTAGGCGTCAAAGCTATCCATAAAAGTTTGATTGTGAACGAACCAACGTATTGAAAGTTTATTAATCTGACATTTGACACCTAGCCGGGCGCCTTAAAACTTGTGGTCCGTTCACTACACATTCTAAATTAAAAAAAGAAAACACCCGTTTTAATGTATAGTCTCTGTAAAATTTAAACCCGTAAAAAGTAAGTCTTTATACTCGTATTATTCAACAAACCACAATACGAGTAAATAGAAATTTGATTGTTTTGATCCTTTGTTCTAGGTATTATAATATTTAAAAATTAGTATGATAAAGTCTGTTTAACCTACTACACCTGATGAAATTATTTTCAAGGTGCAGGTCTGCTGTTTCAGAAGCAGTTGCAATAAAAACTTGTGTTTTATTAAATGGAAGTCCTTACAACGAATTTTTTTTTAAGTTTGGCGGCGACGATGAGTTTTGTTGCGAACAAACCACAATTTTTAATACGCCCTGCGAAGTTAAAATGTCATATTAATAATTTTCAATTTGATGATTTGTTTACAATTAAAGTTGATGGCTAGTTTTAATGCCAAATTAAAAAAAAAAACACCCATTATTTTTTTGCATTTATGATTGTATACTTTTTTTATTGCTTTTTCATATAATGTTAAAAAATGAAGAAGTTCATCAAAAGTAGAATGATTTAAAAAATTAAATAAAAATGTGTTTTGTTTTTACATCTAATAAGAGATTATTTTCAAAATATCAATTATAAAATTCAAATTTTTAAAACAACAGGTACAGTTGCAAGTACCTTGATTATCCAAACAATTTGAAACAAATATTGAGAGATTTTAAAATATAAATTTTTAGACACATTTATGATTTATAGTTTGTTGAGATCGATATGATATACTTTTGTGGCGTATTGTTTTCACTATTAACAAGTCAATTTGTTGTGAAATGTGATATTTACGGCTTCCCAATAAATCACGCTAGGAGACAAGAAAAATAAATATAAATGCTGGAAGGGTATTTAATGCGTTAACACCTCTGGACACGAAACTGAAACATCATCGAAAATCTGCAAGATGACATTTGTCGGCACTTTTAATGCCCTCCAGATGTCGTCTAATTTTCTTTGATATTTAATATCTGTTGCATTTTAGGCGTGACAGCAGACTATTAGAAAAAGTGGAAAGAAAACACACATGTATTATGAAGTTTTAGGGTTTTTTTATTTACAAGAGAAACTTTACAATACAGTTAATAAATACACTTTCTAGATACAACAATTGAGGATTTATACACTAATTATACAGATCAGGGCATGAAACTAAACGTACCAGCGGCTTAATATTTACATTAAATTATGGCACACTTTCCGAGGTCGTCTCTAAATTAATTATTGCACCATCGAGATCAATCATCCGGTTCTTACAACCTCAACTTTCAAGAACCCAAATTGTGTCCGTGATTGGCTAAATGGAAATACGGCGCGTAACTCCCGGAACTCGTCGCTTGTAAAGGGTAGACACCCCCGTACGGTACATGATGGGAATATAATAATCCGGAATGGGTGTGGTGGCCGGGGAAGCCGGGAAATCCCCCGCCAGAGCCGACGTTCGGCGGCGGAACGGTGGGCGAATTTACGTCCATTCCAGGGTTCTGTTTTTTCCATTTCGTTCGACGATTTTGGAACCAGATTTTCACTTGCGTTTCTGTTAAACTTAAACTCAGTGCTAGATTCAGTCTTTCGCAGACGCTGAGGTAACGTGTGGTTTTGAATTTGTTTTCTAAAGCTACTAGCTGCTCGTACGTGAAGGCGGTTCTTGCACGGCGCGGTTTTCCGGTATTTTGCGATTTCGAGTCGGATTTCTTTTTCTTTAAGTTGGCGTCTTTGATGTCCTCGCTGATGTCGCTTTGGATCTCGTCGTCGTCGTCGGAGTGGTGGTCTTTGCCTAGAACAAAATAGAGACATCAGTTTTTATTTCTTTTTATACAAAGAGAAAATCGTTAATTAATTAATTAACATCTAAAGTAAAATTATTATTTACAGTGTTATTAAAACATGCAAGTTTCGAAAAAGACTAAACTTATTGCAAACCAGATACGTCTGTCTTCAAGCAAGCGTAGAAATTTAAAACGTATGTCTGTAGAAGATAAAATGTCATAATGACAAATGAGAAATGTCAAAATAGTTTTTATATAAATTATAACAGGAAACCGTGGTGAACAATTTTTATGAATAAACACCAACAAAATATCATTTTAGGATATTTTGAGACGTTTCATAGAATAATTCAATTTAATAAGCTCAATGTTTTAATTTTTTTTAAATAATTTTTTGACATCTAGATAACATACCAACTGCCATGCAACATACGTCCTCAACTAGGACGCCTACTTGATAGAAAGACTTTTTGATCGCACTGTAGCATAAAAGTTTGGGTAATGTATTTTTAATAATTTTCTACATTAAGGTAATAAATCCTCTGAGAAGTTCATTTTAACCAAACAAGTCTATTCATTAACTTCCTTTCAATATTCCTGTCTTAAAATAATTATTCATTAATTTTTAATGAAACGAGTGCACTAATTGGCAAAATTATTAAGCGCTGATTACCAAACACGTTATTTATTAAAAAAAATACCGATAATGTTTCTTGTAAAAAATTTAATTTAATGAACATCTCACAATTGGATCTAAAATATTTTTTTAAGTTCATTAAATCAATTCACCAATGTTGGAAACCACACTTTAAATCACAAATTTTCCTAAATGCTTTGTTTACTGTTTTTTTTTAGTTTTGTTTTCTTCTATTGCCATTTTTCGTTGTCGCATCTGAATTACATATTCTTATTTAGTTTAAAAATAAAACAGTTAAAAAAATAAACTAACCTTTTTTTTGAAAAAAATATTTTCCCAGCTTTGTAGCTATTTATACATAATGTATTATGAGAAGTGGTCACTTCTTTATCAGTTGATAAATATGACAACAGTTCAGGTAGGAAAATGGTCACTTTCCAACCTGAACTGGCATATATGTCATGTTCTTCAAAATTTGATAAATTCTTTATTGGCTTTCTGCTTTTTAACTAGGATGATTGTAAATAAAATTGTATACAAACCGTCGTCAAATTTCGCCTTGGCACCCCCCACCTTGGAATCTAATTTACTGTTTCATTTTTCAAATCGATTTGAATTGACAAAGCCTTTATTGAACTAACTTGTTGTTAAAAACTCGCATTTTTATTTTTCTAAAGTCAATAAGAAACTTCTCTTTTGTCAAACAGAATGATAAAAAGCACAGAAATTCATAGTCAAGCATAGAAATTCATTATCAATAATAATATTAAAAAAAATTAATGTAATTTAAAGAAGTACATATCATCGTGAGCCTAAATAAAAACGTGATCAAAAGTGAAAATTTCATGAACAAAGTTTTGTATAGATTGCTATGTTTAAGAAAATAAAATGTGTAAGATATTTATATACTGTAGAATGTAGGTAGAACATTGCAGTGATGCTTCTGAGAATGTTGTCAATGTTGACTTTTAATTAGTTTTAGCAAAAGTTTGATTTTTAACGCAAGGGGGGTAAATTTTTTTAAAATTATTGTTCAAAACATCTTTTCAACATTATTTCTTACACCCTATACCACGTTATTATTTAGACTCACGATACGTAATTTGCTAAGTGTTAACAATTAAAAATAAACTTGTGTATAATACCTAAGTACATAATGTTTTTTTTATTTTACAAATCAGCAATTAATTGAATCTAAAAAATCTAAAGTTTAATTTTTTAATTTTGTTTTACAATTCTTTTTGATGCTCAATTGATTCAACTTGATTTTAATTTTTTTCAATCCATATTTCCCATATTATTCTAATGAACCAAGATTTTTTTATTTATTTTTATAAACAAGCTCAAATGTGATACACCTTTAAGCAGATAAATTAGGAATTAACAAAATTACTATAACACAAAAAAATAATCATTATTTTAGAGAATTAGTTATCTACAGATATTTTAAAATAGGATAGTTAGAAAAACAGGTAAATAGTTATTAAGTAATGAAGTTTTTATACAGGGTGTTAAAAAAAGATTGGAAAATATTTAAGGAGGTACCTATCATTAGATAGGTATAGATATTCAACTATTAAGTTGAAGCCAAGATAAACAAAAAAGTCTTAATATAAACATGGGTCCGCAAAGTAACGGCTTCGGAGATATCGAATGTAATTTTTTTTCACCCCCTGAATTTATTTGAAAAAATGTCTCATTTTTTATCATTGTTCCCAGTAAATAGCCTCGAGGTGCTGCAAATACGCATAACTCAGCAATGTCAACAAATCCAAGCCAATAAGGAGGTTTTAGAGAGTTCGAATATCCTTCAGACGAAGACGTCATGCCTGCGTGTAACTTTGAACATTTTCTGTAAAGTTAATTTTTGTATTTACTAAAAGCTTCTCTTTTTTGTTTGAAGAGATTACAAATAAATGTTTCAAAAAACGAATAATCTTCAATATCTCCAAAACCGTTACTTTGCGGTCCCATGCACGGGTATGTTTATTAAGACTTTCTTGTTTGTTTTGATATAGATTATTACTTTCAGAAATATTTTACAATCTTTTTTTAACACCCTGTACACATTCATTTTATTTAATAAGGTACTTGTTGGTAAACGTCCATCATTAGTTAAAATTATATAACAGAAATTTCCAATGGCAAGATTTCCATAATTATAAAAATGTTAAAAGTATGTAATTAAAATGTCATTATTGTAGATATGTTTACAAAGCGGCAATAATAAAGTTGTAAAATTAAATGGAGCATAATAAGTGTGCTATTTCGAGTTCTTAAATTTTCTTTTTGTGAAACGCCGTCCTCCATTAGCTCGTAACAGTAATAAAATGATCACAAACGTCGTACCTGACGACGTCTTCTTTCGTGTTCCGTGTGCAATGCGAAATTGTTATCACTTTGATCAGAGAAGTGTGAAATTTTGCTACCAAAGATGGTAAAACAACAATAACGAACAACTTAAATTCAGCGTGCGCCAACATAAATACTTTACCAACTTTACAGCGTCTTAGCATTCAAGCGGCATGGCATCGGCTGGTTTAGACAACGGAAGGAATAACGGAACCGGGACATGTAATTAACAGCCTTAGCGTAATTGCCTCCGGGCTCGTTAGCAAGCCGTGAACTTTGTAATTAATCCTTTGGTTTTGCTGCTACTGCTCTAAGCAGATGTATTAATTATGGACGGAATACGCTCGTTTTAACTCCACCTACTCCCTTCTTCGCTCTCTAGCTACTTTATTAAAATATTTAAACACTCTGATGGTTTTCTAATTGCAATCTATTGTTCCGCACTTCATAAATTAAACGCCGCTTCTTGTTTAGCCTCGCTTATTATTACACTAATGGCGCGATCTCTTATTTATTACATATTGCACGTTCGGTCTATTCACTCAACTCATATTCTGAAATATACTCTGATATTTTATAAAATTTTATTACAACACATACGTAATTCAATTAGTATAAATTTGTAAATATAAAATTTTAGAATAAAAAAATTAAAATTATTATCCCGGCGCATCCACCAAAATCAAATGTTATTGAAATTCAATTGGAGCATGCAAAAATATTTATTTTATTTTTTTTAGAAATAAACAATAGAAGCAAACTTTTAATAGAGGTAGGTGTATTAAAAAAATCAACAAAATTTAACAAAACATTCCTGTGAGGTCTGAAAAATTGATTAAAAATGAGTTAAACGTGAACCTGAACTATATAAAAGAGTTTTAAAAAGTTTCCGGTCAAATAAATAAAACCACAAAACTTACGAGATACGCCTACAAAGTCTAACAATAGTTATTTGTAGTATTACAAGGGGGGAAAGTGTGTCTTTTCCTCTCATAGGTCGAAGTTACTGCCCGAGATTTGTCCAAGACAATAATCACCCAAGGAGAAAAAAACACTTTCCTCCAGTGTTATACATATAATTTCCTACGATCCAGTAAGAAAAACGTCAAAATTAACAATTTCAACATGACTGAAAAATAACTGGTGGTGAACTTGTAGGAATTAAAACTGTTATGCAATGTTTCGTCTATTAACCATAGACATCATCAGGCTTAACAATCCTTTTAAAAAAGTACAATAATCAAATGAGATCATGGCACGGACACAATGTATAGAAAAGCAAAAAGGCAGTAATCACCCAAGGAGAAAAAAACACTTTCCTCCAGTGTTATACATAAAACATTTTCTACGATCCAGTAAGAAAAACATCAAAATTAACAATTACTTTTAATAACAAGGTTAAAAAATAACTTGTAGAAATTAAAATTGTTATGCAAAGTTTCGTCTATTAACCATAGACATCATCACGCTAATAATCCTCTTAAAAAATTACAACAATTAAAAGCAATGATGGCATGGACACAATGTATAGGAAGGTCAAACAATAAGTTAAAATAATTTAGTTGGTTTATCTTCCTATACCATTTGTATAAACCATCGCCGTCTCGATAGAAATAATCCTTTTTTCGCCTGGGCATTTTTTGAGTTCAACTGATTCCCGTTGGCGCTTTAATCTGGGGAATTTTTTTGACACATCCAATGTTTTAGCTTAAAGGGTTCAACCTCATAATATCAAATCTTTCTGGCGTATCTTGTTTTGTTGTCCTCTTCCTTCCCAGCTTTTATTAATTGCGTTATTTTTTGTTAATAATTAAAAATCATTCAGTTTTTCCTTAGTAACCCCCGTAACTAAGAAAAAATTCGGAATCACTGCTCCAATGCATTTTTTACGAAATGCCCAGGCGGGATATTGATACATTTCATTAAGGAGGCGGTGGTAAAAGCAAAGTAAATATTCTTTTGACTAATGTATAAATTTTAGAAAAATTAAAATTTGTTTGTCTCATTAAGGACGAGTCAAGTTTTAGAACGCGTCCAAAGGTATACCTATAATTTCTCAAAAAACTCTTAAAAAAAATTACATTCACTTTTAACTTAAGAATTATTTTTACCACAGTTGACACAAATAATAAAAACACAAGCAACTTTTCTTCAAGAATAGTGATGATGATGCACCCAAAAACAGTAACAAGACTACTGAGTAGTCAAATCAATCTTAAGTAGGGACTAACTGTCTAAAATTAAATTAAATTTCAATTTCATTAGTTGTGAATTTCTTCGGCATTAATATTATTGAGTACTTAACCTATCAATAATGGAAGATCAACAAAACAGATTAGTAGAAATAGAGAAAACGAAGATCAGTTTGGTATTGAGAACGGACAACATGCGCAAGTGACAATATAGTAGATAGCTGTTTTTAAATTGACTAGTGCAATCACTTCTGTACGAGTTTTGGTTTCTACGTCATCAATCATAAGAGTTAGCAAAAGCTCTACGTGCTAATCCAATTTAAAAATTCCTTTAAGAACAATGAGTACAAATGCCTAAACATATTTTTGTTAGAATCGATTTTTCCAATTTGTCTTGTGAGGAATTCAAGGTAATAAAAGTAATCAATTAGGGACCAACTCTATACAAATTTTAAAGTTATGTGTATAAGTAATGACTTGCAGCAAACCTTTAATTAAAAGTCTGATTTAAATAAATAAATGGTTTGAAGTTAAATTGACAACATTGCAAAACACTGCGGTTTCCCAACTTTTATAATCTTCTGTCTCTAAGAGTATCAATGTTGCCAACTTAAATTAAAAGTCATAAGTCACTTTGATCAGAAATTTAATTGAAGACATGATATATGACACCTAACATCCTATAAAATTTAACAATATCGAGCGATCAAGATATTTGTAATCGAGTTATCCGAAAACGTATGTCTGTGAAACGTCAAATAAAATGACAAGTCGAAAGGTAAAATGGTATGATCATATAAATTATGATTTTAATAACTAAATTTATGATTTACCTTCAAAGGAGACCGTTAACTGTTCCATTACAAATTATCTTAACCACTCGATACAAAACACGATTCACAATAAATCATACTTACATCCTTTTAGAGTCACTTTAGGTAAAATAATAATTTTCTGTGCAAGATGAATTAAGTTTTATTCTCAAAACACCTTTTTCTAATTCTCTATTAAACTAAACAGAAGAACATTTCTTGTACGGTTTTGTTTTTTTACTTTGGATAAATTATTTATAATTTAACATTAACAATTTTGCTTATAAGTAGGTATAATTTGTTATACCTAATGAATCGAAACGGCTAATTAAATTTTAGGAAATACATATAAGGTGTTTCAAACCTCGCGCCCTAGAAAAAAATAAGGTAAGGTAAGATACCAGAAACATAGAAAAAAGTGTTAATAAAATTCTACCTATGAAAATTTTAAAAATATAGGAGTTGAAATTTTGCACTTTGACTTTATTTACGAGTATTTTTGTTGGAAAAATATTTTTGTTATTGTAAAGTACTATGTTTATCGTTATTTTGTGGCTTTTACTGTCAAAATTTTTGCACCTTTACTAAATAATTATAATAAAAAATATTAGTAACACTAAACAAGTACACTACACTACAAACAAGTAACACTAAATAGACATAAAAAAATTTAATATCAAAACATTTTTGAAAGAAATTTTTTCCATGTTCCTGGTGTCTTATCTTCTTTGGAATTTTTTTCTGGGAAGCAAGTTAAGTTCTGAAACCCCCTGTATACCTACCTATTGTTTATTAGCATTTTGAAACTGAAGCTCTCTCATAGTAAAATCTCTCACAAAGTGGTTTTCAAAATGTATAGTATTTGTTATAAAATTGGTTCTTTTGAGACTTTTTGGTGTACTTGTTTTTTACAGGTTTTCAATTTTATGGAATAAATACATTAATAAATCAATCTACATAGTTTAGATACTAGTTTAGTATAAAATATAAATGTTATAAATTTTGTTCAATTAAAAGAGAAGATGTGTATAAAACTTGATTCACCTGGTTTAACCGAAAAAGTAGAAAATAAATTAATGTATCAATAATAGTCAATCCCAAACAAAAGTTTTTTCGAAAAAGCTTCATCAAAATCCAAATGATAATGGCTGACAGAGCGTCACCGCACTGCATTGTTTTAGCGGTGAACAGACAAATGAATGCGGTTAACACGTTTGTCGCTTGTTACGTATTGATTTCACAAGCTCCCGTGATGTTCTCGAATTACCGCCGCTTAATCATACTGAGCCCCGGATTTACCGATTTAATCGGTAAATGCCAGACGACGAGAAACACTACTTTTAATTTATATAAAAATATACCAAAAATCTCAAGTTTCATCCAATACCAGAATCAGTATGTTATACAGAACATACCTATTTAAAATAATTATTATACAAGATGCGCCAGAACTCGCGCCCCAAAGAAAAATGCTTATAAGGTTTAAGGTAAGATACCAGGAACATGGAAAAAATGTTATACCTACAAATTCCATCTATAAAAATTTTGAAATTTGATTCTATGTCTGTTGGAAAAATAAATGTCCAAACAGAAAAGGAAACAAGGAATCCTAAATTGTAACTCTGATGTTTAATGTTATTGGTGGCTTCTATTGACAAATTTTTTCAACTTTTACTAAATAATTATAAAAAAACATATACAAGATCATCAGTATCATTAAACAGACATAAAAAATGTCAAATGTCAAACAATATATGGCAAAATTTTTTGACAGAATTTTTTAAACATTTTTTTCATGTTTCTGGTATCTTATCTTACTCAAAATTCTTTTCTGGAGCGCGAGTTCTGACACACCCTGTATAGAGAAGGGTCTATAGGTACAACGTGTGTCACATAATTTCACAAGATTTATGCAAAACTGCAAAAAATCAGTTAATAATAATACATAAGCGATTACGAATTCAGTAAAAGTTTTGAAAGATATAAAATTCATGACAAAGAATTAAGATCAACATTAGGTACATCTTAATAAAATACCTATAATGTAGTGGTAGGCCGCCTAATAATAATAGACATGTGAAACAGCTGATAAATCGGAAATTTTTTATTTCATTTCAAAAATTAAGAAAAAAGTTTACGATAGATATTTGGGGCAATTTTTTAATGAAAATCTAGCACTATTTTTGAGTCCGATGTTTCCTCACCTGTTTCGCTGTCGTCGTACTCCGGCGATCCCCTGGACCCGTCATGCGGCTTCCAACAACAAATCCCGTCACTGTAAACCCCTTGTCGTCCCGTAAACTTATTAGGGTCCAAGATATTTTCGACCGAGAACGCCAATCTGCGATTCTGATGAGGCACAACCGACGGACTTTGATCTCGTGGGCTCTCCGACCGGCTAACATCATCACTACAAACACTTTCTGCCCGTTTCACATCTTTAAAACTAAGAAAATCACCACTGGAATCAGTCTTATTCGATGGGATCAGGTTCTCGAAGGAGGTGAACTTGTCCTGTCTCCTCGTGAGGTCCACAGGACACAGTGTATCGTCGTTTTCGACGTCCACGTTGAGCTCTTCGTCCGTATCGCACGTTTTTTCGCACATTTCGGCGTCGCGGGAATCATCGGATATCCGTTTCGGCTGGAGGAAGATTTGCGAGTCGGATGAGTGTAAAGGGGATCGTTCTTTCTCCACCGGTTCTTGGTTTTTATGGCCCGTTGCTATAATTCGTTCCATCATCAGCATTGTCATTATTGGAGGTCACTCTTAACGCATTCGATCGATTTTGGGTTTTTTAATAAGGCAAAACTCGCTTGTTATCGTACAGGGAGATTTTCATGTACTAAATTTGATCTCTGGAAATCGGTTTAGGATGCAGCTTCCCCACACAGAATGGCGAAGCAAGCATCAAGTCGGCTGGGAGAGGGTAAACTGGCGCGGTATTGGTCATTGTTGAATGCATTTCGACATCGGATTGGCCACAGCGGGCTTGCGGGTGGGGCTTATTTAAACGTAGTCGAGTGATCTTTATTTGCTTTGTAATTATGAATATGATTTGTAATAACAAAAGAACCAAGTTGGGAAATTATCAAGCCATGATTGTCGGGCATATTTTGGAACAAAGGCGGTTATTTAGACTACGCTGATGAAACAATTTAAATTTAGTAGCGGTGAAAATGTTATGGCTAGTCGTTTAATTAGTAGGGAATTGTATTGTTGAGGGATAATGTGGATTTGTCATATTGCCCTATTGGGCCATTAATAATGTTTATCACATTGTCTCTGATCACATTAACGCGCGTCACATCACAACTATTAACTAACGGACATCCCTCATAACACCGTTTTCATATACGAGGGCTGGACATTAAGTCAGATTTTTATTTTGTTAATAACCTGATTACGTAGAAGATGGTTTACAGGATTCCTTACCCTTTGTCCTGTAAACCATCTTCTACGTAATCAGGTTATCATATTTCAAGGACAAGAAACACAAAATGGAGAATTTATTTTTCAACTTAATACTATTGTACTATTGTATTATTTCAGGTAGGTTAACAACTCGGCAGTTTCAAGTTTTGGAGTAGATACCTATTGAGATCACATAAAAGGTTTTTAAAAAAATTTGTAAAAAAGTCTCATTTTTAAAGCACTTTATACTTTATCAATTACTTTTTTTTAAGAAATGCAATTAAAATGGGCGTTTTTTGGGAGGTGGCAAAACTGGACTCCCTGAACTTGCCTATAAATGCAAGTTCCGCACCAATTTATCGATTTCATATTCTCAGTTATTAATACAATTAAAAATGGCATGGTTGTGTAAATAAAATTAATGATATTTTGAAAGAGATTGTGTCAAAGAAATGCTTTTGAAGCCTGTTTTTGAAGTTAATAATATACGATGGTTGTGGTATAAATCACCGAAAAATAGAGGCGTGAATGTGTCTTTAGTGTTAAAATAATAAAGCTCCCAGCCGGAAATTAAAATGGTTAAACGTGTGGACAAGTTAACGGTAGCTAGTTAGTAGCTTGGAAATGGTTTTGTAGACGTATTTATAAGTCTGTATTTATATGCGTTCAAGCTACTGATGTACTAAACATGTCTACTTATCATTAATAAACAGATTTTAATGATGGCCGTTTAAAATTAGTATAAATATTTAAGTTGATTATTTTTATATTATTGTAAAAATAAAGAGGAAGTTATAAAGTCTTTAAATAATTGAGCCATATGTTTTGCCAGTTTTATTTGACTTTTAATTTATGAAAATTTTGTAATGATAAAAGTATACATAAAAAGCAATTAATCTTTACTTTTAACACAATTGTTTCTCAATTTTGTTAGAATATCTTCAAGAAAATATAACAAAACATTATACCTATATTATTTATTATTCATAAATATGAAGCAATATTTGAACCTCAAAAATGACCTATAATATGACGTTAATTTAAATAATAATTTGTGTCCGATCTCTATATTGATAAGAATTTCATAGTCCTCGGAAGTGGGGTATAGAAATATATATATTTTTTTGTAATAACTTTGGAACCATTTGACCAAATATTATAAAATTTGGAATAGTTACTTGCGAGAACATACCCTTTAGGTTAGTAATTACAAAAACCGGATGCATCTACTCAATTTATGGTTTCAGCAGTTGCAGGTCACATTTTCTGTGTTTTTCCGTTTTTTTGGCCTCTTAACACTAATTTTTTATTGCTTAAATGTAAAGAGTAATCAATTTCTATTAAAAAACGCATAACCTTTAATACCACTAAAATGGATCGTTTTAAAGATATTTTAATTTAGAGTGAGGACTGCACTTTTCAACAGCGTTTTTATTGACATACAGTGTCCCTGGATATAGGTGAAACGACTCTTCTGAAAAATAATAAATTCTCGATTTAAATTTTTATTTTTCGGGGTTCAGCTCTGCTTGGTTAAAGATTATAATTTTAGTTTTGCAGAAATACGACAAAAAGTTATTAAAAAATGTTGTTTAGAATTAAATTTAGGCCTCTATATAAAATTTCAAAGTCATCGGCCTATACTATAATTTTTCCAAATTTAGATGTTGATTCGAAACAACTTTTCAAAATAACTTTTTGTCGTATTTGTCACACAAAAGGCTCTTTTTTTCTACAAAAAATAGGTTTTTTGAAAATTTTCAAAGCATACTTGATTTTTCAAAACTAAAATTATGCTGGAAATTAATTAACCAAACAGGGCTGAACCCCAAAAACTTAAAAATAAAAAATAAACTCGAGAATTTTAGTGTTGGAGGTATCTCATGTTTCAAAATCTATGAAAATGAAGTTTGATCTTTTTAAGACTCAGGTCCAGATATAATCGAGGCAATTTGTTCTCTAGGAGGTTTTGAGTCCTACATGATTGTGTTTTTTTTTTCAAAAAATTTAGATTGCCAAAAATGCATTACGTACACAGTCTTCTTACCTTACCTTACCTTACCTTCTAGAAGATATTTTTTCTCGATCATATAATTATGGTTGATATTAATGATATTATAATATTATAAAGACAGGGTGCGCCAGAACTCGGGCCCCAGAGAAAAATATCAAATGCCGGCGGCAATAAGTCGCCAAAAAGTGCAGCCGAAAAAGTAACTTTTGCCGTCAATATACCTAGGATCTTTTATAAAATATGTCGTCATTCACAAAGTGTTGTTAAGTAGAATTGTGAGCATTAAATTTTGGTAGGTAATGTCCTACCTAATGTCATTTTTAAACTTCATTTTTTGTCAAAAAAAGTAGTTTTCTTGTCTTAGCATTTTATCAATTTTGACAAATGGTTTTATAACAATTTCTGAATTTACTAAAATTTCTGATTCAATATTAGTGTTGGCAAAAATTTTGGAGACTATAGCTTAAAAATCTCGATTTACTCATATTAAATTATCGCTCCCTAACGGTCGCTCAAATTAAACTACGGCGACTTCGATTTATACACTGATGTCTATATAAAACTTTTTTCTTTACTTTACTTCAACATTGTTACATCAAAAACTAAAAAAAAATGTTTCTGAACTCCCATACTACAAAAAACTGAAATTATTCTTGTTACCCTAAAACAAATGTGTAGAAATTAATATCAAAATTTTAATATACATACAAGGTGTCAGAACTTTCGCCCCAGAGAAAAATTTCAAGTACCTAAGATAAGATATCAGAAACATAAATAAAAAAGTTTAAAAAATTCTGACAAAAAATTTTGACATTTATTTTTTGTCATTTGACATTTTATATATTCCTATTTAATGATACAGATGATCTTGTACATGTTCTTTTATAATTATTTAGTGAAGAGACAAAATGTTGCCAATAAAAGCCAGAAATAACATTAAACAGAATTACAATTTAGGATACATCAGCTTCCTTGTTTCCTCTTCTAATAGTCTGTAGCAAAAAAACTTAAAAAATTATTTTTACAACAGTAATAAATGGAGTAAAAGTGCAAAATTTAAACCCTCGTAACTTTGAAATTTTTATAGATAGAATTTTTTTAACATTTTTTCTATGTTTCTGATATTTAACCTTACATGGCATTTTCCTCTAGGGCGCGAGTTTCGTCGCAGCCTGTATAGGTACAATAGCGGTTAGCAACTCTCTATTATTTTATTACTATCATAATTCTCTTTCTTTTTTGCCTAAATTTATATGTAAATCTTAATATAACTTTAATACTTCTATAGGTATGATATTCTGTTTATTTAAAAAAAAGGAAAAGTTTTTGTGATTTAGTTTAATATTTTCCATTCCTTTTTTGATATTTTGTGATGGAGAAACGTAGTCGATGATCGAACAAAGGCCGCCGTTTATCCTCTCCTTCAAGTACCCATAAACGACAATGACAATAGTCGTTTTAATCGTATTTGCACTAGGTCCGCAGCCGCAGTCCCTCCGGAGGTGCGCACATACGGGAGTCGCTCGGGTCTTTATCGGGGCGACGATTCTAAGTAGCAGATGTGTCAATTTCATTTCAATCAGAGGATAATGGGGGCCGTAATGGAATCAGCTCTTGGTCTATTTGCCAATACTCGTCGGCGGTCGCGCCTGTTTAAAAACTTATTTGTCTTCACGACGAAAACTATACACAAATTGGGAATCTCAGACGACAATCGCGACAAAATTATTATTAAAAAATCGAAATTAAAAACTTTCCCAAACCGGAGCAATCAATCAACCGATTTTCCACCTTGAATAGCAACAGTTGTGCGGTTAAATTGAACATTTACAGACTGAATAGAAATCCAGGAAATAACAAAACGAATTGAATATAAAAAAAAATCAAGAAATGAATGAACGAAATCACTCCAACATATGTCAAATTAAAAATACAAAACTGGAATGGATATTAAAGTACTATACACGATTTAAATTAGGCGTTTCGATGAATGACCGGTAGCCGAAAAATCGATCAATAATCATAATAGGATCAAGTTAAATAGTCAAAAACCAATTAATCGCAACAATTATTCCATTATAAATGAGGTTTTTGGGCGATTATGGACGCTGTGCCTTGCGGTGATACGCTCAGAATTGTATTTCGACTGACGAGACGAGGTCAAAAGAAATAATAAAAAAGACAGCACCGTTTGGGAGTTTTATTTTTAATTAAATCGACACAACCAGGTCTGGCACCGGATGTTGAAAGCTTTACAAAAATATTCACACAAAAAATTTATCAAAGAGTTCTAGAAAAACTAAAAATCTTGTTCGACATTACAGCTGCCCTCATTCTGTCAACTGACCAACAATTTTTTCTCAATTTTTACACTTAGTCTAAGCGAAA